TTTGAATAGAAGAGAACACGGGCGGATCTCCAGTTATGACTGCATGTCACTCCTGAGGGCTGTAGATAAGGAACTGATTCTGGGCACCCAGTCTGGGGAAGCACCTTACCACAGCCATGGAGCTGAGAGACCGAATATTGTTCTATTTCGCCAACATTGTGTCACAGCACAGTTGTATACTGATGGCATTTTCACTGTTGCTGTTGGTCTTTTCACCTTACCAGGAATTGATCCTAAATAAATTTAACTTTAAAAACTCAGTCCTTGACCTGGCTGGGTGCTCAGTTGTTTAGAACGACTGCAGGTAAACAAATAGGCTGTAGATTTGATTCTTGATCACGGCACATACCCAGGTTGTGGGTTCAGTCCTCAGATGCAGTGCAAACGGGAGGCAACCAATAGATGCTTCTTTCTTACATTGATGTTTCTCTCTCCCTTTCTCTCTAAAACCAGTAAAAACATGACCTTGGGTAAGAATAAAATAAAATAAAATAAAATAAAATAAAATAAAATAAAATAAAAATCTCAATCTTCCTACAAGACTACAAAATATGAAGACCACTTGAATAAAATATCTTTAAGTAATATTTGGAGAAGAAAATCAGTCTTTATTTATAAAAATACTTCTAAGTATATCCAGATTTTTTTTAATTTAGAAAAATATAAAAAATACCTTTATGATACGAAAGATATAACCAGATGGATTATCTATAAAAATTTGGATAGCTTCACTATAATTTTATTATGGAACTTCATTTTGGTATGATTACAGTTTATTTTGTTCTTTATTCTTAGATTTTTATAAACTGCATGATAAAAAAATATATATTGAGTCACCAACTTATTGCTTATGCTTGATTCATCCAAACTCAATGGTTTCCTTATTCTAAAGCACAGATTATATTATTTTTAAAGTATTTTACATTTTATTTAATTTTTATTTAGATATAATTGACGTATAACATGTTAGTCTAAGGAATGCAAAATAATGATTCGATATTTGCTTATTTTTCAAAGTGATCGCCCCAGTGAGTCATACATAGTTACAAAACTTATTTTCTTGTAATGAGAACACATGCACAGATCATGATCCTTTGCATCAATATAGAAATATACACAGAGTGGCCAAATTATTGTGACCTCTGAACGCATAATAATCTGGCCACTCAGTGTATATCTTATATAATAAAAGGCTAAATATGCACATTTTATCCTTGACCAGCAGGCAGGCCAGCCAACTGCCCATGTCCCCTCCCCCTGGCCAGGCTGTCCAGAACCCACCCATGCACGAATTCATACACACATACACACACACACACACACACACACACACACACAAACACACACACACTATTATGCATTCAGAGATCATAATAATCTGGCCACTCAGTGTGTGTGTGTGTGTGTGTGTGTGTGTGTGTCACAAATGAATATTTTATTTTATAAGCTGTAGGAAGCAAGAGAAATAGTAGCATGCAATTTTCTTAGCCTACTCTTTGTTTTCCAGTTAGTTCAAACTAAATAATGTGTGGTAATGGAAAGAAATGTGTATCTATGTGGATATAAATTCCAGCCATAAAGATTTTACCCACTTATTTGATCTGAGAGAGAAAATAAAGAATATGAACAATTTTATATTTTTTAGATTTTTACTCTAGTTCAATATATTAAAATGCTTACATCTTTCATTTCCTATTTAAATGCTCATTTAGAGTAATTTTAGAAAGTAATTATTTATATTAGAATAACTTTCCTTTTTACTCCCAAAATAGGCTAGAGTGATAAATATATAGTAACAGGTATAACTTACATGTAATTTGTTTTTTAAAAATATAATGTAGTATTATGTAGACCAAATCCCACCTCTAACTATTATTCTGAAATTTGTGTAACATCAACAATATCCATGCTCAAGGTTTACAATATTCTATTTCTTATTCGAAAGGCACTATAGCCAACACTTTTTAAGCTTTACTTATTAATTTTTCATATATTTAATTTATTAATGGGAAGCAATATCCTGATAGACCTATTATATAAATTGATTATCTGTCTGAAACATTATCTGAGTGAAAACATTTACATATACATGTTGTACAACTTCAGCAAATAGTCATCAAGCACTTAGTGAAGAATTCATTGATAATTTTATGCTCATTCTCAGCAGGATGTGTAAGATGCAAACACATGGCTTGTTTTCTGAAAGAATTGAAACTTTCCAGCTCTAGAGATCTGATAAGTTATATTGTCCTTTAAATCAAAAGGTGTTCGCTATTCAATTTTGAGGTTAAAATATTTGCTATTTGAGGAAGAATTTACTGTGCAGGAAAGAGCTATAATTTTAAAAAAGTTAAAACTCCCAGGCTAAATTTTCCCTTCTCTCTCTCTCTCTCTTTTTTTTTTTTTTTTTTTTTTTTACCATTTTTTTTACCATTTTTTTTTTACCATTTTTTTACCAATGACTAAATATTTTTATTGATTAATTCAGTATCAATTACTTTTTATTGACACTAGAGATCCAGTGCACAAAATTGTACATTGATAGGGTCCCGATTGGCTATTGGCTCCTGCCCGGGTACTCCCTTCCTTCCCTTGGCTGGCCCCGCCCCCTGATCGAACTCCTGGCTGACCTCCTGGTCGAAGGGACAATTTGCATACTATGCTTTTATTATGTAGGATTATTGTGGATTCACTTGCAGTTATATGAAATAATCCAGAGATCGTTAACTTTTAACTAGGTTTCCCTCAATAAGTATCTTCTAAAAACAATGTTACAATATCACAGCAAGGATATTAACATCAATACAATCTACCCATCTAATTCAGATTTCAATATTTCTTACTGTATTTGTGTGTTTGTTTAGTTCTATGCAATCCTACCACAAGAGTAAGTTTTTGTATACACCACTGCAATTAAGATCCAGAGTAGTTCGATTACCACAAGATGCCGCATGTTCCCTTAAATGACCACCCCCTTCCATTTCTAACCCCTTTCAAATCACTAATCGGTTCTTCATTTTATAATTTTGTTATTTCAAGAATGGTCTGGATATAATTGAATCATACAGGATATAACCTTTAGTATTATTTTTTTTGCTCAGTATAATTCCCTACAGATTCATGCACTTTAATATTATATTAATAATTTCTTCTTTTTATTGCTGAGTAGTGTTCCATAGTATGAATGCATCACAGATTGTTTAACCCAGTGGTCGGCAAACTCATTAATCAATAGAGCCAAATATCAACAGTACAACGATTGAAATTTCTTCTGAGAGCAAATTTTTTTAAACTTCTTCTAACGCCAGTTTTTCAAATAGACTCGCCCAGGCTATTGCATTTTGTGGAAGAGCCACACTCAAGGTGCCAAAGAGCCGCATATGGCTCTTGAGCCACAGTTTGCTGACCACAGGTTTAACCTATTCACCAGTTGAAGGACATCTTGGCTGCTTCACATTATGGCGATAACAAATAATTCTGCCATGAACATCCATATGCAGGTTTTTGTATAACTACCAATTTTCATTTCTCTGGGATAAAAGTCCAAGGGTACAACTAGGGAGATAGTGTGATAATTGTATTTTTAGTTTTAGTTTTATAAGAAACTGCCAAACCATTTTCCAGAGTAGTAGCAATACTGTTCTACAATCCCACCAGTAAAATATGAGCGATTCAATTTCTCATCAATATTGCCATCATTTGATATTGTCACCATTTTTTTTTTAAATGTTTCATTTTAAGTGTGCCATCTTTTGTCATCTTCAAAGAAATGTCTCTTTTTCCTTTTGGTCCATTTCTAATTGAAGTGTTGTGTGTGTGTGTGTGTGTGTGTGTGTGTGTGTATGTGTTATTGGCTGGTTTATTTTTTATTGTTGACTTTTGAGAGTTCTTTCTATATTCCAGATACTAGCTCTTTGTTGGATTGTAAATATTTGTAAGTTTGTTTGCAAATATTTTCTCCTCATCTATAGATTACGGTATATTTTCATTCCCTAATATATATATATGTATATTTAAATTAGCATATACTAGTGTGTTGAATTTATTCCTATACAACTGTGTTTTCCTTTCCTCAGTCATTGTTTTCTTTCTTCATCATCTCTCATAAGTACACATTCTGCCTATCACTTCCATACATGCCCTCATTATATTTAATAAAACTGATCCTCTGATTTTTTGCTTTATTATTAAATGGCTTTGGAGGGTGGGAGGTTGCAACTCATACTGATATTATGTTAGAAACTAAGAGTTGAAAAAAATCTAGTTTTGTTACTTTGCTCTGCCAAAGTCCAAACAACCAGTTGGAAAATGGAAAATATAATTATACTTGATAAAATAAATGTATTATTTTTAAATATTTTAAAATAATACCTATATTATCATTTTGTCGTATTTGTCAGTTCACCTAATTAGTATGCTATGGTGTACTAATATGAGTGATTATTTTATTTCAATTTAAATAATGGCTCTTCCTAAAATTTTGAAAAATGTAAAATTCTTCTGTTGTGTCTATAACTGCTCTCCAAATGAGTGTTTTAAATGTTGCCTTTTATTCTTTTATTTTACTCTTATTGAAAACAACCCAGTGATTTCTGTGACTGAGGGGATGTTTGTTTAATTTTAAGCTTTTCTTTGTTTTTAACTTTTTTCCCCAACTTTATTTTATGTTTTGTTTGTATGGAAGGTTGTATTTTGCTTTATTTTATTTTACGTTTAGCAAGCATGGGAATATATACTCGCTTATTCTTTGGAAAAGAAAACACCCTAAATGTGGCTTAATCAGCTTTGTAAGTCATTTTATTTCTTCCCCATTGACCTGGGTATGTGCATTATTGGAAATGTGTGCTTTAGCGGCATATATTTTTTTTTTTAGTCTAATTAGCTGCCTGCCTGTAATCAGGACTATATCAACTGTTGTCATTCTAAATGTTTCCTTTCTTTTTTTCAAACACATTTGCCTGATTGACCTGTTTTTTTCTCTTTCTATGGGGCTGCTCCAGGAGCCATGGCTAATCATCTTATAAGCAATGCTCTGCTTCGTCCGCATGGTACTAACAATCCCTATAACACATTGCTTGGGGAACCGGCGGTCTGTAACAACCCTTCTGTCAGCATGTACAACGCACAAGGTGTGCTGGAGTTTATCTTAATTTTTTTTTTCAAGTCAGAGTCCCGTTTTATGTAGCTTTTATGGCCACATTCTATTTTTTCTTTCCTTCCTCCTGCCTTTTCTTTCTTTTGGAAGCAGACACACAGATTCCTTTCACCTTCTACCCCTCTTGGTGCTTTTATTTTCCATTTTCCTTAGGTTTTTTTCATAGTAAGAAACAAATTCCTTTCTTCTGGTAAACAAATGCTTGATTCATCAATATGTGTTGGTTTCTTTGTGATGTCATAAAATGTATTGTGGCTTGTCAGTACTTTTCTTGTTGTTGATTGATTTTGAGAAATGCGGTATTTACCTAAGGTAAGTAAGCTAAGGGGACACTTGAACCACTAGTCTTAATGTTATAAGATTAAATAAATAATCATACTCTGTTATACCATGAAGCGCATGCTAGGCACACAGCTTCAGTACTGATGGAAGCATTCATGTGGACTCCAGGGAAAATTACATTAAACATGGAGGAAAGAACGGTGAACTGAACAGTAGTAGTTCAGGTTCTCCAGATTTCTATGGCCCACATGAGCCGGTTCATGAAGGTCTCGAATCCTTTTTCTATTGTTAAAAACAAGCCTTCTGAATATGGTTCTTCTACGTCCTCTGGTTTTAAATGATATAAAATCTAATTGTGCCCTGGCCAGTATGGCTCAGTTGGTTGGGCATTATCCTGTGCAACGAAAGGTTACTGGTTCGATTCCTAGGACTGGAGGCAGCAATTGACATACTGCTCTAAAATCAGTGTTAATTCTTATTGCTCTTCCTCTTTTTTTTCCTCCCGCTCTAAAAATTAATTTAAAATATTTTTTTAAAATTAATTGTTTATCAAACAAAAAGCATAAGTCCTTTAAACAATTTATAATATTAAAGTCAAGACATTGAAAATGTCAATATATCATATGTAAAGAGACCACAAGAAAATAACATCCAAATAAAAGTTTTATAATCTTAGTCAGATCTAATTTCATAATTATATTTGAAATAAAACTCACTATGAGACAGAGATGTCCAAGATTCCTTCAAGTTAGATGTGATAGATTACGAGTATTTAACATTTCCAGGTGATTTTGAATAAAATATATATTAATCCTTTGTGAGAATCTTTGTGGGAGGTTTTGGTTTGTTTTATCATTCGGTGTCTAAAACCATCTGACCTTCCCAGGTGGCCTTACCAAATAAAAAAGATGCTTTTAAATTATTTCTAAATACCAAAGTCAGCAAGCCAGAAGTGACTTCAGGAACACAGTCAAACTGGTTGTCAGTGGAATAAAACAATTAAGCAAACTATACATTGTATTGCCTTTTTAAGTCCCATACGTTTAAGAAGCATAGCATTTTAGAATCAGGAGAAAGAACAGGTTCATTAGGTCCTCCTTATGACATTCCTAAAGTGTGTTCTATAATAGGGCCTTTCCCAGCTCGGGATTTCCTATACAGTGACTCTTGAACAAGAGGAGTTAGGAGCGCCCAACCCCCTATGCAGTCAAAAACCTGCATATAACTTTTGACACCCCCAAAACTTAACTGCTAATAGCCTCCTGTATTCTAGAAGCGCCAGCAATGACATAAACAAGACATTAACTCCTAGTGTGTATGTTGTATCAAACACTGTAGTCTCACAATAAAGCTAGAGAAAAGAAAATGTTATTACAAAAATCATGAGAAAATATATTTACAGTATTTATTTTTTTTAAATTCACTTACATGTGGACCCACACAATTCAAATCAGTGTTGTTCAGCAGTTAACTGCATTAAACTGCTGCATTGCTCCATTTGTTGTATATATTTTTTTTCCTTCCACTGAGCTGAAGTTTGCCTCTGGTCATGATGCTTAGATTTGCCCTCCAGAGCAAAGAGCAAAGCATTCTGCTCTCTGTTGCAGTCCTTTAAATACTTGAAAGCAGCTAAACCTGTCTTCTTTTAGACCTCTATTTCCCTGGAAAAAAACTCAACGCCATCAGTGTGAGAGAGTTTCTAGGTCCTTCTTCATGGTCACCCTTCCTCTCCCCTCTCCTCCCCCCATAAATTTATCATAAAGATTTTAAAGTGTGCTGACAGTAAGTTTTAAGTGATGTTAAATGAAGATTTACAGCACATCTGCAAATTAAATCTATCCTACATTATTCATACAAAGAGTTGTTGGAAATTGTTTTAAAACTAGCAACAAATTTAGGTAGCATTTATTTAAATTTTTTATTATTCTGATATAGTTTCTAATGTCTTATATAATGAAAAATATAATAATTATTCTATGTTTTTCCTGATTCAATATCTGCTTTCTTCCCTTATTTTCTTTTTATCACTCTCCCAAATTAGATTTTTCTAAGGATGAAACATTTCTGTAAACACTATCAAAATGAAATCCCCATGATGCAAAAGTTAAAATAAATACATATATTGAAAGTTTATTTCTGTGGCATTTATTACTGGATATTGCTACTAAGATTACCAATAAATACACAGAGGATTCTCCTGAATGGGTTTGTGGTTTATGCCAGTAAATTAAATTAATTCTACTGAGTTTCTTTAATCATAAGATACCAATAATTTTATTCATGTTTTTTCAGAGTCAGAAGTGTAACTGTTCAGCTATTGGATGCTTAAATATTTTTAAGAGGTTAATAGACTATGGTAGTGCTTGAAATCATTCTTTTTACAGTTGACCCAAAATAAATCTTGGTAATTGTCATTTGCTACTAATCTTATGCTTTCAGATGAACGCACTTATATTCTTACTGGCAAGGTGAAATCTTACATGAAATATAGGTGGCTCAGTATGTACGGGAGTGGTTTATGTTGAAGGCCCACTTAGTTCTGTTCTTTGGGTCCCTCTGATGCAGCGGCACCAATGCCATCCAAGCAAAAAAACATTCAGATTTAAAGTGCCCATTTTTGTTTATAATGCCTTTATTTAAAATATGTAAAGATGTGTTCATAGTGGTACTGACGCTTATTGTTAGGAATAATGATGAATAATATTTTTTATTATATTGGATTTAGAATGTCTTTGGAAATATTTAAAACTCCATGCATAGTATTTCTGGGCCATTATCTTTTTGTCAATAGTGGACAATTAAATTTTCGTAAGACCAATTTCATTATATATAAACCTGTCAACAAAACATAATTTAGAGAGAAAGTCATGATTTCATAAAATAATATACATCTTAAAGTAACTGAATTCAAATTCTAAAACTTTAAAGATAGTTACATCCTTAGGATGGTATATAGCGAAGAATACATTATATACATCATAGTTGGTAAGAATACAAGGTCATATTGTAAAATATATAAATAAATAGTCAAAGCCCAAGGCAGCTGTGAAGAGAACGAGATGGCAGTATCCAGAGCAAATCCAGATTTCCTTTCTGGTCCGGGTTCTGCCACTCAGGGCAGGGTAGTTAGGTAAGGCACAGTTTCCTCATCTCTGAAAAGCAGGGGCTGAACTTGTGCTTTCTAGTTCTAAAATTCTGTCCTTGAAGGAGGGAGCTGTAATGAGCCTACAAAGCATTTCCCCCTGTGCTTCACTGGTTTGGCTTTCTGTTTCCAGTTCTCTCTCTAAAGCTATTTTGAAAATGTAAAAGAAATTCCTCTGCATCTTGAAAAATTTTTTGGTCTTTTGCTGAGAACCAAATAAACATTTGAAGTGCGCACACCTTATTTCTAAAGCAGTGGTTAAAGTCTAATAAGCCAGAATCTCTTAAAATGATGTGGCTCAGTGAATTCGCAGTATTTGTGTGTGTGATGATGATTTAACCTTCCTGTACACAGAATCACAAAGAGCAGTTCTTTTGACCTGATTAAAATATGGGGTTTTTTAGAAACATAATTTCACTAGGATTGTTTTTAATGGATCAGCTCAAAAATGTTTGATTGCATGTGATTGTGCAATAACCCAGAAGAAAATGATATTGATGGTGGTATTCCCCCCTCCCTCACATTTTCTTGATACAGAATAATGATTGGATTTAACCTTTTTCTTTCTCCATAGTTATACAACTTTTGAACATGAGCTCCAGAAATGGCAGTATTGATCAGTGTTATTCACAAATGATAAGAATCATTTATATAGGTACAGTAGGGGAAAGATAATCTTCGTACATGGAAACAGAAGTACGGGAAAAAATTATGAAAACCTTCAACTACAGTCTCTCTGTATATAAGCTAAAAATTTTATAATTTTGCTGAAAATTTTTAAAGTTAACATTTCTTAGAAGTGGGCATTTTCTAACATACATAACTACACACACATATATGTCTATATATAATATTAAAATATAATTGTGGAAATATTCATGGCTTGCCCTCAAATACTTATTGTCCTTGGTTTGTGTGATAATCTTAACTTGGGGGGGAAAAAACGTGTATTTGTTTGAAATTTACAAACTGTAGAAACGCTTATTAAAGACTCATTTTACTAGCATGTGTTAAGGTGGGGTTCTTATTTTCTGACTAACATTTCAGTATTTTTAATTATGATAAACCACGTAACACAGACTCATGAATTTTGGGGCAGTGAAAATTATTTCCTTTGACTCTTTTTTCTGCATATCATCAATTTGCTTTTTACTCATGTTTCTCCTACTGTCGCTGTAAGCTTACTTGTTGTTTTTTCTTTCCTTTTCTTCATGCTGTCGTTTAGAGCCCTACAGAGAGACAAGTATGGGAGTAAAGCTAAACATTGCATATCAAATGTAATTTTTTTTAGTTCACTTTATTGCATCACATATAGATGATGTAGTTATTAAAAACAGTTCATCTCACAATTTAAAAACTTAAAGAACGTATGAATTGACTTATATAAATATATGTTCATAGAGATTAGACGCTTTTGTTGTCTGATTCTTTTACTGTGTCGCATAATCAACATAGTTGTTAAGTCTCATGTAATGTTTGTGTGAGTTAAATTGTTTTTAAATTAAGCATTTGATTTTGCTAATTCATGTCTCATACAAATATATGTTATAAGCAACATGCCCACTTTAATTTTATGATGGCTGTTTTCAACCCGTACCTAATGCATTGACAACAGAAATAATAAACTTGTTTCAATGCATCAGTCACGCAACCATGACCATCAAGCCTACCATAGCAGCCTCTGCAGCAGCCGTCACCCATCACACATGGCCCTCTAAAAAGCATTTACTTTTTTTCCTTAACATTGTGGATTTGTCTACAAGGTACCTTATAACATGAAAATAAATCGCTTCACCCTATGTCTGTGATGGGTGCTTCTTTAATGTATTTTATGCACTGCTGTTTTTGAAAACTGTGTTACTTGAATACAGAGTATCATCAGAAGTCTACCTAAAAATTGACCAATTTGGGACACTTTATTTAAGCCAGCAGTGAACTAGTTCAGTTTTGATAAACAATTGCATCACAGATATAGAATGAATGCTATATTTTCACAAGTTAGCAGTACATTGAAAAGTTTAATGAATTATTCAATTAATTGTTTGATAAAGAAATACTCTTTCTTATTTGCCGCTATTGGTCGAATGTTTGTGTTTGATTTTCTTTTGTGGTTGCATTTGAAGAGATTTATGGAATTCTAGATTCTTGGATTTCTGTTCATTCAAGAGAATGCAAAAACCTTGAATAAGCATGTGGTCAAATTTATTTCACGATAGCTGTTTCTCCCCAGAATACAATGTTTTATTAATCTCTTTTTAACCCTAAAGTTTAATATATACACAAAGTAATCACTCATTATGAAATAGAAACTTTAATTTTCACATTTTCACACTATGTCTTTAGGAACCAGATCACATTCTTTTGTATTATTATTTTAATGACCCTAAACAATTACTAATGGGTTAATATGTAATAGCAACCAAAGTGCTTATAGCAGGAAAAAAGTAGAAAGTAAAGACAAATTTATTTTTCTTTTGAAAGTCCCTATGTGCAAATTATTTTGATGTGCCCCTCATTTGACTAAACATGATTTTATGACTACATCATTCTGACAAATTTAACATAATCCTTCTGTGGTTTTGCATGATATAGGGATTACTTTTAATATTACAGACTTACATATCAAATTATTAGAAAATACTTGATTCATTTACTTTGACCAATATATTTAAAGTACCACACAGGAATTATGTTACTATTATACCTATTCTAATGTTAAGACAACATGTAAAAGTAAAGGTAACTAATTACTGAATTGACTTGGATGTGTATAAATTGAAAGCTATGAATCATTATACCAAAGTTTTGGGTTTTTTTTTTCTTTCTCTAAATTGTAATTAAATAGGCTTCAGATTTAATTTAGGCAATGTTTGTGTGTAAATTGCAAATTCATTGATGCTTTTTTTAAAAAATATATATTTTATTGATTTTTTACAGAGAGGAAGAGAGAGGGATAGAGAGTTAGAAACTTCGATGAGAGAGAGTCATCGACCAGCTGCTTCCTGCATAACCCCTACTGGGGATATGCTTGCAACCAAGGTACATGCCCTTGACCGGAATTGAACCCGAACCCTTCAGTCCGCAGGCTGACGCTCTATCCACTGAGCCAAACCGGTTTTGGCCATCGATTCTTTTTTTAAGATTTATTTTAAATAGTTCTTTTCCAATTATAAGATTTCTATCAATTGTCCAAGTATATATATAGATGTGTACATTACATTAGTGTTTTTGTTTTTTACTTCCAAACATTTTATACCCAATTAAAAAAAAATGCTAGCAATTTATACATACTTCGCAGTGCTATGCTTTTTTTTTTTTTTTTTTTTTTTGACTTTTGACTTTTGTGTCTGTTGTGCATCCCCTGGCCCATCGGGCGGCGATGTCACGGTGTCCTGTCGTGTCTTTCAGAGGGGCTTCTGAACAATGCCAGGGATACAAGTGTCATGGATACTCTACCACTGAATGGTAACCATGCCAACAGCTACAGCATCGCCGGCGGCGAGTACCACCTGAGCAACTGCGTGCAGATCCTCGACCGCGGCTACACCCACACCGAGACCACGGCCCTGGAGAAGAAGATCCTGAAGGAACTCACGTCCAACTACATCCCTTCCTACCTGAACAACCACGAGCGCTCCTCCTGCGAGCAGAGCAGGAACCTGATGAACAAGCTGGTGAACAACCTGGGCGGCGGCAGCGGCGGCGGTGGCGGCGGGGGCGGCGAGGAGGATGCCATCGTCCTGGACGACGCCGCCTCCTTCAGCCACGAGGACGGCCTGGGCCTGGAGCTCATCCACGAGGAGTCGGACGCCCCCTTGCTGCCCCCTCGGATGTACTCGGTGGCGGAGAACCACCAGGTCCAGCAGCCGCACCATTACCCGCGCCGGCGCATCCCCCAGGACCACAGCGAGAGCTTCTTCCCGCTGCTCACCAACGAGCACACGGAGGAGGAGCTGCCCTCGCCGCCCCGGGACGCCCGCTACACCAGCATGCCCGCGCTGGCCGGGGCGCCCGCCGCCAACGCCGCCGCCGACGGGGTGCCCGCCGGCACCCAGGCGGAACCCCCGCCGCCCAGGGCGGGCGACGCCGCCGCCGACGACGTGTACTACAAGAGCATGCCCAACCTGGGCTCCCGCAGCCACGTGCACCAGCTGCACACCTACTACCAGCTGGGGCGCGGCAGCAGCGACGGCTTCATCGTGCCCCCCAACAAGGACGGGAGCCCCCCGGAGGGCGGCAGCGCCAGGGGACCCGCGCACCTGGTCACGAGCCTATAGGGGATGATGGATGGGCGCCCCTCCACGTCCCCTCCCCCCCAAACTGCCCACTCCGCCTGGGGGACCGCTCCGCCTTGGGTACCACTCCGCCTGGGGGACCACTTTGCTCCAAGCAGTGGGAAGGATGCCTACTCCTCAGTCTGGATGCTGTTCCTGAATGACAACCGCAGACTGCCTGTCAGACTATTTTCTTTTCTTTTTTTTTTTCTTTCTTTTTCTTTTTAAACTAGGATTTTTAGGTCCGCCCAGGGGAGAAAGGGAACTGCTGAACCCCCCAACCCCCTGCGCCCTCTCCTCTCCGGCCCTCCCCCACCCTCTGATGGGATGGAGACTTCATTATGTTAATGAACGAGATAGGAAGCAAAGGCGCTCGCTGTGGCCTTGTTGACCATGTGGTGTGTGTTCTGACATCTCTGATGCTCTGTTACTAGAATGACAAGGACCTGATGTTGTTGTTCTGTTTTTGTTTTTTGTTTTTTTGTTTTTTAAAAAAGGCCAGAAGAGTTGTTTGAAATGAGTAACAATGCTGCATCTAGAGTGGAGTGCTGCACAAACAAACATACGAGCAAAGCAAAAACTGTATCATCACCTTAGTGTGTTTTTTTTTTAGTCACGCACAGCCTGGGGTCACCACCGCAGCCGGGGACAGCTGTGGTATGCAAAAGTCAGACCACACGATTAATAACGGAACGGAGGGGAGTTTCTAGAATTATATGCTAGACGCATATTTTATGATTTGCTGTATTAACTGATGATAAAACTAATGGCAGAAAAAAAAATGGAACAATTTCTATGTAATGTACAGATACTAGCATTGCACATATAGTCTGCTTTCTGTTCCTCCAGAATTTGAGTCCTGTTAATGTAGTGCAAAAAAAGAAAAAAAGAGACACATTTTCTTTTTTCTTTCGTGCTGGTCTTGCAAGTTTGTCTACTAGTAAGAGAGCAAAGTTTCCTTTCTTTCGCTTTTGTTTTCTTTCCTTCATTTTTTTCTTCTTTTCTTTCCTTTTTTTTTTTTTTTTTTTTTTTTTTTTTTTTTTTTTTTTTTTTTTTTTTTTTTTTTTTTTTTTTTTTTTGCCTATTTTGTTTAAAATGTCACCTGGCAAAAATAAATAAATAAATAAATAAAATAATAAATAAATAAATAAATGAAACTATCACTTTATAAGAATCATTTTCTAGTAATGCAAACAAATTATTTTTTACAAAAAAAATAAAATAAATAAAATTAGACTTCCTTCCTCACTATATATCTTTATCCAGTCAGAATATTTCCAAGAGCATTTTTGCAAATTAGAGCAGGACAAACGTTTATGTTCACGGTGCACATCTGTTGTAATGCAAGCATATTTGGCAAGTGATTCATCACCATGACAGTAGCTATGGTTCTAGAAGTCAAGAGATGTCAATAGAACTAGTGGGGCTTCTGCATGTGAAAACAAAAAACAAAAAAAAATACGGTGTCCCATCGCAGTGCTGAATGCTCAGTCTGATCCCCATGTGGGCACCTGCACTACTGATTTTTAAAGGAAATCCACTCCCTTGTAGTAAGAATCAAAAGGTCAAGTTATTTTGAAGTGATTAAAGAAAAAAATAATCTCTTCTGTTTGCTAACAGGAACATTTATTTATTTGACAGGATTTTAAGTAATCTAGGAATACAAGAGGTAAATTAGCAGCACATATAATTTTCTTTTTGAATTTACGATCCATTTTGTATGGTCTCAAAGTTGGATGACCTCATTACTAATATTTGTTGTAAAAGTGAAACTTGTTTGCCAACCAATAAACAACTGATTGAGATTTAGTAGATATTGTATTGATGTATGTACTATGATTGATTAATTATTCTTTTTTGTTTTTCTCAGCTTTCTTTCCTTCTGTTTTCAGTATGCAAACTTTTCCTAGTCCCCTTTGGCCCAATTGAGCCATGCAAAAGAAATTAATCTGCCTGAATGAAAATAACCTAAGCACAGAATGACACAGTTTTTGCAGAGTGAACCAGAAGAATGGGATGGGCATGTTTATGTTGGCCGAAATAAGATGTATAACTTACTTTGGAGCACGTTAATATATAGGTTATTGTGTGCTTATTTATAATGCAGCTGCAGTCTCTTGAGCTTATTATAAAAGCCAATTCAATCAGAGATTTAAGTATTAAATTGGGGGGAGCGGAATTGGATCAGATAATTTCCTTCCTTGTAAACTCAATTTTGATGTTAGAAATGTAAATCCACTCAATCAGCAAAACATAGTAACGGCAAAGAGAACATCCATTTTGTAATGGTAGCATAAGACATTTCAAGGCTAATTTTCTCTCGTTTTACATGTGGAGAAAGTGGAAGTAAAAACATCCTCCTAAATAAACTATTTTGATCTCCAATTACTGAAGAACATGTACCAAGTGGGCAAGCATGGAGCCTCACCTAGGGCAAAGCTAGAATGAATTTGCCAAATTATTTCTCTTGCAGTATGTAATATCTTGGTGATCTCTTTTTCCTTTTCATTTCCCCCAAACCTAAACACCTACGGCCTGTATATTGATTTATTAAATGAAGATGGGAAGGAATCGTGTAGAGAATAGCCAGTAATCTATAGTTTTAAAATATATGACACAAGAAAACCTTTTGTGCCGAGTCAGAGTACATCCTAACCTTATATCACCTCAAGATATCTTAAGCATCCTTCTTTTCAGTCACTTACCATGAGTATTTTTTTTTAAGTGTACACATTTTCCTTAAATTGTAGGAGAACCACAAGCTTTAACAGAAGTTAACCACAAGCTTTAACAGAACTTAAAAGATGCCTTTTTTTTTTTTTTTTTTTTTTTACCATCTTTGGTTGACTCTGTCTTTTACCAATTATTATTTCCTAGTGAAATAATGCTTTAATAACATTTTAGACTTGAAGTTGTTTTTCTCTCTGGGGTCTATGTCACATGATAAAGTTTTCTCCTGCCACACTATGGCGACATTAGCACCTGAAAGGTGGTAGGTCTGTCTGGTGTACAGAATACATTTGGTAATGAAAGAACCTTTGTTAGACATGTTTAAGATAACTTCAGAAACACAAATGTGGTCTGTAAGTTATGGGTGCTGATGCTTAGTTTGCCAACCCAACAGTAATCTATACGAGAGCAACTCTGTCATTAAGAAACTAGTTTCAATGGGGAAACTACCTCAAATCCAGCTTGCTGATGCTGCCAATTCTGATTGACTGATGTTGCTACCTCCCAGCCCGTTATCTTTTGTGTTTCGTTATATGGAAACTTGAAGCAGGTAGCACCCCTACCCCTACCCCACCCCCAGCTCTCCATAGACCAAGTTGAAGAAACTCACTTGAATACATAAACGGGAATAGAAGGCCATTCTGTACTGTCAGTCACTACCAAGTTCCTAAGATGAAAGGGTAAGATTTTTGAAGTCTCATACATCATAACTGGCTTTTAGAGTAAACCAGAAAAGACTTAAGATCCTGAAGATTTTCACAGGAAGAGATTGTTTCCCCAAGTTTTATGTGACTATAATGAAAACAAAGTGGATAAAGGAGTTAACAGTATCCATTTCGATAGAAATATGTGTATATCTAACATATTCATTTAGTCCTCTTTACACTAGCAAGAGTTGCATTCCTGAACTTGAATCTTTTTATGTGCATTTTCATATCTATTGATAATTTAATAATTTTTAAAGATGCCTTTTTTTTTTACCACCTTTGGTTGACTATATTTTTAATACCCTATAACATTCATGACATCTGCATATTTTTATGTGTTTAGCTGATTTTCCATTAAGAAGCAGATTGCATCAAACGAATATACACATTATCTGATAGCTATAAAAGTTATGCCAATAAAAACAAACCAATTATTATTTCCTAGTGAAATAATGTTCTAATAATGTTTTAGACTCAAATTTGTTTTTCTCTCTAAGGTCTATTTCACATGATAATTTATCAGGGCATTAACTGACTGCATGTTTATTAGTTGATTCATAAACTGTGGGAATATTGCATAGTTCATGTTCCTAATTAATAATATTTATGGAGAAATCTAAATTTTGTGAAGGAGAAGTAAGTTGAAATTCCAATTAAATTTTTTATCATCCCTCTTTGTTTCCACTTTATTAAAATTAAAAACATGATGATTGAATAATAAATTGCTATGCTAAAATGATCATAATGACAAAACAGAAATGGCATGAGAACATATATATTGAAGTAAAAATAACCAGGAGGTTATTGAAATGCAGGTAATAGAAATACCCTTAACTTCCTATAAAAAAATTCACAATGACTCTAAATTAAAATGAGTTTATGATCTGTATTTTTTTAAATTCTCATTAATCTAAAAATGTTGACCTATTGATGAAAATGTTTAAGATTTAATGTTTTTAACTTTTTAATATTAACTTATTCAGTGTGATGAGACTTTTTATGATAATGGAGATAAGCATATGAGTAAATTAGTAATATTAACAAAGGACCCATACACTTGATTTGGGGCAATAATTTAGGCTTTTTCCCTACACATGTTTGAATCCACTGACCAGTTTCCTCACTTTAAAAAATAGCATTAAAAACTTTAAAGACTGACTTTCTTATTATTGCAGAGACTAAAAGAGAGAGGAAAAAATATTTTCTGGGGTGTCTGGGGTATCTAAAGACCAACTTCAAATTAATCAATAATCATCTCCTGTTAGTGAAAGAATAATTAGTTTTTAGAAGTTGTCCCTCAGTACTGGACCAAAGTCAGGATGTTTGAGGGGGAAAAAACAAAAACAAAACACTACAGACCTACTATGCGTGTCAATTCAAATTTAGCGAGGGAGAAAAAGAACTCAAACCCTAATTTAATTTTGAGCAACTCTGAAAATATTGGCAAGAATGTACTTTCTTCTCTAACAAGAATACTTGAGATAAAATAACATGTATGATCTTCCCAGAATATTGTAGTAGTGCCAAGGTATTAAGATTTAATTAGTTCATGTTTAGTAATTTATAACTATAACTTACTATATAAATCATTACTATGCATTGCTAATACTTTACATATAAGTTAGATTTCTACACAGCCATAAATTAGGAACATGGGAGCATGAGAGTGAAGAAGCAACATTGCAAAATAGCTTCTGGAAGCATTTTTGTGCAGATGAATTCTAAGTGGGAAACTCCTTTGCACCCATAAAATAAATTTCATGGATCCCAACTTTGAGTTTAATTTTGTAATCAGCAATTATGTCCTTTTTAAACCATCTGAAAAAATATTGTTAAATATTTAAATTATTATTTAGACTAGCAGAAATTATAAAGTGTTCGTAACTGTTTATTTCCTGCTTAGGCCATAAAATGAATCTTTTCTATTTACTAATTAATCTGATTACTTCCTCTTTGCTTTAAAAGGGATATCACTTTCTAACTTTCAACTGTATACATTCCTATCTACTCTGCTTCCTTTGATTTACAGCTTGCAGAGGAAATAGCTGATTTACAATATCACAAACTATGATTTTTGCAATAAAGTAAGTAGTTTTTATGGTTTTGCTTATTGTCATTTGAAATAAAGTTATTGCTGTTTCCTCTTTTTGAAAGAAAATTAAAAGTCTGCACTTTAACATCCAAGACCTATAAGTTATTATTCAAGTGTCTTTATTGCAACTATGTTTTGATGTTTCTTTCTCTCTGTTAATATTATATTTCCCAAGTTTTTCTCATTTAATTTGTGTCCCATTGGAGTATTTCAAAGGTAAATGCAAATTACGATTTTTAAGAAGTCATGTGAAAGGAGAACTTTGATTTATATGTGAGGTCAAAGAAGACAATATGAGAAAAAGCCTCTATTGTGATAACCAAATCTTTTCAGTCACAATATAAACATAAGGGGAGCAGAATCAGGTTGGCAAATTTATGGTGAGGTAGCAGGTCCTAATAGAGTTCCAGATAAAACATCTCCAGGAAAAAAAATAATGAAATAATTTAGAGTGATAAAAATCTTAAACACTGTATCAAATGCTATTGATGTTTTGAAAAAATAAAACTGAAGTTTATCATATTGTAATTTTATCTTGCTGATTCCACAGGAAACCCTAAAAACTTTTAACATTCTGGATATTTTTTTTGTCTAGCTACACCCTCTCTGAAGGAAACATGAATATTTTATCAATGTTTCTTAAATATAAGTATTTTTGCCTCAATTCACTTTCACCCTCTACCTGCTTACTCTATTGTACGCCAACACAGTTAATGCCAGTTGTAGCTTTGTACTTTTTAGAGCTTTATCATGAATCTTTCTAGTAAACATTAAATTAATGTTAACTTGGAATTATGTACACATGTTGGAAATAATTCACAACAAAGCAGAAAATGCATTAGATATAAGAATATTACTTTGAAGCTGAACAGATAATTACACTGCTGAAAATATTAATCTCAAGTTCTTTCTCCTCAATTATTGTAGTCACTTTATAAGATTCTACAGACAGTTGTACACACGATGTGCTATCAGAGTACTCCATAATCCAAACGTGTCTAAAAGTATTCCCAGGGCATCTTCACTCTAGAATGCTAAATGAAAGAGGCTGAATGAAGAGGAAAGGAAAGCCGACTTCTGAGGACCTACTTTGGATAAACTCATTCAGAATGAGTCATTTTAAAATGAGAATGTTTTACTCTGTCATCTAATGGAGAGGTTAAAGATTTACGGTTAGCCCAGTATCAGAGGATTTACATTTTTAAAGATGTTAAGGTTGTCTCAAAGGCACAAGATGGCAGAATCTCACACTGCCTTTGCAAGGAAATTGCAAGGAAATATGT